GGGTGCCACGAAGGTCCTCAGTGCTGGGCTCCCGGGGCAAGAGTCCCACAGCAAAGCGCCCCAACATGACCGTGGCAGCGAGAACTGGCCCGACTTGTATTCAGACCGTCAATCCCACAAGATTTTTACCTTCCAGAAAAATCTCTTCCTTCCAGTATTAGAAGGGTCAAGGCATCATTGCAAAAGATGGAGCCTTAGTGAGGACTGTCCCCAGTGGGGAGGCCACTCACTGTAGGAGTCCCCAGGGTGGCCGCTGCGGTCACTCTTCAATACAGCTTCCAATATCCATACCCAGAAGTTGAGAGAAAGGGGGGGAGGGAGGAAGAGGGAGAGAGAGAGGGAGAAAGGGGGCAAGGGGGAGGGGAGAGAGGGAGAGAAAGGAGGAGGGATGGAGGGGGGAAGAGAGGGAGAAAGAGAGAGAGAGTGAGAGAATGAGAGGGAAGGGAGAGAGACCCGAGACGCCAGTGCTGACATACTTTGAACTCAGAGTAAGCGCACTGCAGATGCAGGATTTGGGTTTTTTTTTACAGAAAGGAAATGATATTCAGCTTGGGTAGAAAAGCATATGGGAGATGAGAAAGAACCAGAAGGTGGGAAGTGCAGTGACGACAGAGGCCCGTCTGAGGAGGCGGGTGGGGCACCCTGGCCCGGGAGGCTGGGGGGGCAATTGCTGAGTTTTTCTAAATAGGCTGGGCTGGTGCCACTGTCTCATGTCTTCTGATGCTAAAACCGGGGGAAAGGCCTTCGGCTAGAGCAGAAAAAGCTCAGAGGCAGAAGGAGAGCTAGGAGTCGCCAAGGGCCGCAGGCTCAGCCAGTGCCCAGTGAGCGATCTGCCCAGAGCTGAGGCACGCACACGAGCCCGGGGCTGGGAGGATGCCGACTGTGGCGTGAACCGAATTATGCCCAAGTGACTGTCAGTTCTCCCACTCCTCACTGCTCAGGGTCTCTCCAGGGCTAGGAACATCAGGCTGCCTGGGAGCCCGTTAGAAACACCCAACCCACTGAATCACAGAGCCAGGCTACAGTGCAGTGGCATGATCACAGCTCACTGCCGCCGTGACTTCCTGGCCTCAAGTGAGCCTCCTACCTCGGCCTCCCAAGTATCTGAGACAACTGAAATGTACGCCTCTGTGCCCGGCTCCAGAATTCTCTTTCCAAACAAGATCGGCGGGTGGTTTCCCTTTTCCTCCCACAGAGGACTCTGCTCCCCTAATTAAAAACAGTATTTGCATTTCTTAAATAATCTCAAAAAGCTTTCACCATCGTCTGCCCACTTTTTCCAATGTCGTTAGTTAACTGTCTTATTGATCATTTCCAAAGACATCCACCGGTGTGGCAGGATGCGGCAAATGCTCAAATATATTTCTTGTATGATTGAGTGAATAAACACAGAAACATGTAGCTGGTTCAGGATCAGCAGTTGGCCTCATGGCAATCACTAGCCCAGGGCAGGAAAGGAGTTGATAGCAGTTAAAGGTATTTCCTTTTGAAAGGCAAGTTGCAACTTTAAAGACCCAGCCAGCGGCAAGAAGGTTTTGTTTAAGAAAGGCCAAATGGCCCAGAGACTGGCTATTTCATGGAAATGAAAAAGAGTCTTATCTAAAACCCCCCTTCTGAAGTTGACGGTTTATAATCCTGCAGTTCCTGGAAACCATTTGTTCTTTGAAAAATCTGATTTTGCTAAGTACAACCCTGTAAGATTCCAAAGGAAGTATGTAATCATTCAACATGACCCCCCTCCCTTACCTAAACGAGGGTATAAGACCCCACGTCTCCTGTTCTGGGGTGCTCGAGCTTGATTTGGATGCATGAAATTCTCAGGCCCGCTGTGCTAGTGCTAACCAGCGTAATAAAGTGCTACTTCCTATAATGGTCTCAGTGTCACGATCTCTCTATTTTTCCTGCTACACCGGAAGCTGTTTTTATAAACATCAGAAAATCGGATTTATAAAGCTTGCCTCCCCCTTGAGAAGAGGAGGCAGCCTACGTGAACGCCGCTGGGGCCAGGCCCTGTGCCAGGCTTAAAATGCATTTTGGTGGCAAACTGGCAAGACAGCTGTCCCACCTCCAGGTCCTCTCTGAGGCAGCCGTAAGCAGGCCGAGCGCAGGTCAGAGCCTGGGTTCAACACTAGGCCCGTCTGATGCCACAGAGGCTGTTCCTGCTGCCCCCGAGACACCACCACTCCCACTGCCTCCTGCCACAGGCACAGACCGTCCCCGGCACCTGCAACAGTACTCACGCCATCCTCAGATTTTCAGTGAATGCCTTGTCCTTCCTAAGCTCGGATCAGGTGCCTCGGGAAGTCCCTCTATAATTGTCCTCCCACCCAGGCTACTACTGTTAATCAAATATGCACCATTCTGCCATCTGCGTCTTTCATTTAGCAACCTATTGTGAGCATCTCAAGTCAATACAAATCGAAGTATCTTAGTCTCTGTCAAGACTGAATGACTGCATTGTATTCATTCCCTGCTGATGGGCATTTCAGTCACTTCTTTCTTAATCAGAAGTAGCAGCCTGGGCAACATGGTGAGACCTCATCTCTACAAAAAAAAAAAAAAAAAAATATTAGCTGGGTGAGGTGGCATGCGCCTGTAGTCCCAGTTACTTAGGCTGAGACGGAAGGATGACCTGAGCCCAGGAGGTCAAAGCTGCAGTGAGCCTGACGCAAAAAAAGGGAAGAAAAACATCAATCACCTGGAGAAAATACTAGGGTATAAAAATAACTTTTGAAGACAGCATAGTCACACAGCAAGTCAGAGTGTTCTCTTAATTAATCTTTCTGTTTTCCTCAAGTCTAGCTTAGCATCAAAGCCTCTTTCACTAAGCACTGTTATGATAGGCAGACAGTCTGAAAGGCCTCTGTGGGCCTCAGCGGACCCTGGTGGCATCCCCCAGCCTGCTTCAAGTCTGCCCTCATGCTGCTTGCTCAAGGAAGCAGTGACCATGCAGAGGGAAACACATGCACATGTCTAGTGTTGCGGTTAGCTGAAAGCTCACAGCTGGCCTGAGTTCTCCTTCCCATTTTAATTAAAATGCACCCCCTCCATGCAACAAGAAAATGCTCTTTTAGTGCTGAAAGTCAGAGCAAAAGCTGTCTGAAAACTCTGAGGCTTACGTAAAGCTGCTTAAGAGCTGCTGTGTGCACCAAACAACGTGGACATTTCCTAACAGGATTTTGTGGAGTTCCAGTAAATCTTCCCAGTCACTGCTTTGCTCTCCTACTTTGGTGAAAACTAAAATCAATAGAAAAGGTCACTCAAGTAGCCAGAAAAGCAAAAAATACACACACATTAAAAAAAATATACTGGCCGGGCATGGTGGCTCAAGTCTTTGTAATTCCAGCACTTTGGGAGGCCGAGACAAGACGACTGTCTGAGCCCAGGGGTTCAACATCAGCCTGGGCAACTTGGTGAGATCTTGTCTCTACAATAAATTTTTAAAAATTAGCTGAGTGTGATGATGCATGCCTGTGATTCCAACTACTTCGAAGGCTGAGGTGGAAGGATTGCTTGAGCCCAGCAGGTCGAGGCAGGAGTGGCCATGAGTGTGCTACTGCACTCTAGCCTGGACAGAGTGAGACTCCAACTCAAAACCAAACAAACAAATAAGTAATATTTAAATATGCATTCATTATTTATAAATAAACTATTATTTCTTTCTGATACATTTTAAAGTTGATATCAGGTGATGAGATTTAGGCACACTTAGGTGTATATGAGTTTTCAAATAATCACTAAGCAGCATGTCAACACACAGTTTAGAGGGGGGTGGAGCCAGACAGGGCAGGGGGTGCATGTTTGCAGTGATGAGGATACTCCCATCAGCCACCCGGCAGCTCAGCCTCCTGCCAGGGCTTCTCCTGTTGTTCTTCCCCGAGCCCTTTCCCTGAAGGCTGAGAGAGCAGAAATGAGGCTGAGTGCAGACCAGGGTCGATGCAGCTGCTAATAAGGCCCGGACAGGGCAGGCCACTCAGGTCAGCACCTCTCCAAGTCCTCAAGGGAATGCTCACTTGCAGCTGTAGGCCGGCGGGGGAGGGGGGCGCACCCAGTGATAGCCATGTGGTCACCTACGAGGGACTCGTGACCTCCAGGGGGAGCCTGCTGGGGACTGCAGATGGAGAGCTCGCCCCCAGTGGAAGCCGCAAGGCCATGGAGAGCTCCTGGTCTCTCCTCAGGGTGGGAGGCGCCCTGGTTCCTTGCAACACCTGCTGTTGCCGTTTGTCCACCCACAGAGCAGCACATGGGCCATCTCAATGGGACACATGGCGAATTTTCCTATTTTACTCCTAAACAACAGTGCTGGACACGGGAGGCGGGGCAAGAGAGGTTGTCCACATGTGGGCTGCAAACACAACGCAAGACACGCATGACCAACACTTCTGCTGGCAGCATGGTGCTGCTGAAGCGACACATGCAAGACCACATCTGTGGGACACAGAACCTTCATGGACAGCAGTGCCCGAGGGGCTTCCTGGTGTCACATACGGTTGGCACGTGGGTGCACGGAACCTCAAAGGAGGACACTTCTTAGAACAGAAGCACAGTCAGCAGAAAGAAGAGGTCGTGGCTTTCAGGCAGGTGGTGAGAAACAGACTGTCCAAACGTTGGAAAGCACCATCGAAGTAGCAATCCCACCAGGGATCACACACAGGCCGACACAGCGACCGAGCTGACTGCGTGACCGTGAGACTCGCCGTCTCACCTGGGTCTGAGGTAGACAGATGCGTACAGGGGCGGTGTGGTGCAGGGAGGCGAAAGCGGTAGCCAGACTGCTCCACTCCGAATTTCCCTCCACTACCAGAGAGACTCTTGGGCATCTGCTCACAGCCCGCACCAGAGTCCCCAACTGTCCAGTGTGGGCAGCGGCAGCACTTCCCCTGCGGGCTGGCGTGAGGAATGAGCGAGACCACTCACGGCACGCTGAGCATGGGACCCAGCGCACGGCGGAGCTCGCGCTGCGACTGGGGACATCCCCAGGGCCCCCGGAGGCCACCTACCGAGATGCATGTCCATGGCCTTTGCACAATACTTGCACATGGCATCCAGGTCATTCAACTGTCCTTGAAGGAAGGAGATTTGGGCTTCTAATTCTTCTTCCTAAATTAAAGGGATAAAGATATGGAAATTTAAAAAACATATAAAATCCTCAAAATTCTCTAAACGATCTGGACTGTTTAAAGAGGTATAATCTCTTTTTAAACCTACACAATACAAAATACATCTGCAAATAAACAACCAACCCACCACTGCCACGGACAACAAAGTTGGAGAAAAAATGGGTAACAGAGTTTAAAAAATCTAGCCTTTTCCTAATTAACTCTAGCACTGTGCCATGTGTAACTAACTGCACATACAACCTGTATTTTAAAAGTATGTAAGATATCTTCAATAAACACGGAGCAACACAAATTAAGAGGGGGAGCTGGACTTCGGTGATCCATGGCACAGAAACATATTTTTTCCATACACATTTGGGAAACCAAAGATTTCCATTTATATAAGACACGTTTTACTATTTCCTAGACAGCGATAATCCCTTAAAACCTGAGATTTCACAAAGCACGTGGAGAAGCCTTGCCCTAGCAGCCCACGGACAGCTGCTCTCATCTTTCCTCTCCTGATATGAGACTCGAGTTGATTTACTTGTTTCTAGAAAAAAGTACTCTGGGTTGCTTAATTATCTAAGTGATAAAGAACGACCTAACTTTAACAAAAAGAGAAAGCCTTTCTTTTTCAGGAAAAGTTCATCTATACAAAATTTTTCCCAAGAAAACGAGAAGATTATAGGAATTTTTCTCCGAGGAAAAGAATAATCCCCATCATTTAGGATATGAAGCCAAGGTAGCTAGAATTCAAAGAAAGAGCCGGAAGAGGCAGAGGCTCGAAAATAGAGTCTGCAACTTCAATGCCTGCCCTTTCACAGAATCCTCTGTGCCATTAAAGAGGAAGCCCCCTTTCTCTTAGAGAATGGGTGTGATCTGACTTGTGCGTAAAGTCGGCAGCAGGAAGGTTATTTGCAGGGTGTCCGGCTAACGATTCACACGTGCAGTGTGGCAAGCACTGGTCCCAGCCGCCTGGACAGCCAGCCCTTGGGGGTGGGCACTGGGCTGCTTGGTGCAGGAAGCAGGGTGGTATCCCTGAGAGCCTATGCTGTAAACACCCACCGCAGTGCCTGTGAGCCCTGACCGGTCCTCTGCACCCCCTCAGGGGCTGCCTTCCTCCCATCCCATGCCAGGACCTCTGTTCCCAGCAGCCGCTGGGCCACAGGATGGTGGAGGAAACTTGGCTTGGTGCTGTCTTCCTGATGCCTCAGCTGAGCATGAGGCAGAAAAGCTGGGGAGTCTCAGGGCTTTTTGACTTCTTTTTCCATCTGTTTTTGTGCAGGCTTGGATGTCCCTGGGCTTGGAGGAACCTGCAGGAGTTGGAGAAAGGCTGCACCTGCTGGCCAGCCAAGCCTGGGTCAGCCTCCAGAGTAGGTGCAATCGCCTCTGCCCACCCCGACGTGCACGTCTGTGCTCCTCAGAGCCATGTGCATCCCACCTTCCTCGGATCTGGGCACCCTGGGACCTGTCTTGATCGCGGGCCAGCTGCCCACGTGGGCAGGATGAGGCCTGCCAGCTTCTGCTCCCACGAGAAGACGACAGCTGCACAGAGCCCAGACATGGTACTGAGTGCAAGACCACACGGAGGGAGGGAGGCCGCAGGAGAGGCCCTGAGAGTGCAGACGTGGTCCTAGACCTTTTGGGCCGAGCCAGCTGGAGCTAGCCATGCTCACTGCATCTCCTTTTGCACCTCTGTCCTGCCTTCCATCACGGGAGGGCATGACAGGGCATAGTGGGTTTCGGGATTCGGAAGCGGATGCCCGGCCCACATTCTGTCCTGGTCAGCTGTCAGCTGAATGATCCTAGATGGGCTCATTCCTTGGCCTGACACATTCCCAGTCACGGGACCTCAGAAGTCTCCCCTGACCCACACTCAGCGCTTTCTAGAGATGTGAAACAGACAGGGAGCTAGAGTAAGAGAGTTACAAGGCCCCAGCCTCCCGTCCCACCTGGATGAGTCCAGAACTGTCCCTGGGTGGGGTTTGGCAGCCTCTGAAGAAGGGGCCCAGTTGCGGCCTGGGCCTCACTTGCACATGGCTACTGACAGATGCTGACAGCCCAGGGCAGACAGGGGGCCCTGGGAACCCAGTGCTTCCACAGAAAACCTCCTCTCTCTTTACTCTGTGCAGTTTACATTGGATTTGCAACCACTTTTTTTTAAAATATAGAAGCCCTTGGAGCTCTACTCCCCGTAGCCACTCCTCCCTAGATGGCCTTTCTTTAGAATGGGAAGGCCAACTGGGAAGAACTTCAGAAGACACCCTAGGGGGCTGGGGCTGGCCTGTGGGCAGGGAGGGGCCAGCAGCTCAGAGAAGTGTCAGCCCAGGAGGCCTCTCTGTGGAGGACATGACTGCAGAGAAGACCACCCTGAGAGGGGCCTATGACATGCAGGCTTGGGGGTCTGGGGAGCATGGCACTTGCTGGGAAAGCAGGCTGGGCGACACACACACGCTTCCACGCCTGCACTCCTGCGTGGGGCTCTGACGACAGAAACAGAGGCGCTTCCTGCTGCCTAAAACCAAGGTGCTCTTGACAGGGACATACTCTACCTCGATGCAAACTCTGCAGCAAAGACAACTTTCCGCCAGCTCAAGCCTCCTTTTTGAAGGAAGGCTTGCACAAAAGCAGGACGTGTGAGGCAGAAGGGGCTGCTAGGTTGGCGGGCCAGAAGCCTCATCCGTTCGGAAGTTTGCTTCACCTTAAAGCTTTCCTAAACCCTTCAACGTCGCTCAGACTTTATAAATAGATATGGAATCATGTGGAGGCGGAAGGTGGCTTGTCACTTATTCTTCACTCTATTATCTAATCACAGATAAACAGGAGCCAAGACTGAGCTTCTGCAACGGCGGGAACCAACTTCCCATTTCCCTCTCAGCTGTCCACGTGCCCCCCCCCCGCCGACACTGCTGTGCACACTGGCCGCCTCGGTCACTGGCTTTCATAAAAGCAAACACTGGCTGAGGCCTTGAGGGTTCATGAAACCAAGCAGCTACTGTGGGCTTGATGTGCGCACAGACACTGAAGACACACGCTCATTGAGTCTCCTTTTGCATCTCTGTCCTGCCTGCCACCGCGGGAGGGCGTGACGGGCATGGTGGGATTCAGAATCGGATGCCCTGGCTCACATCCTGTCCTGGTCAGCTGTCAGCTGAATGATCGTAGCCGGGTTCATTCCTGGGCCCACTCCCCACCACCCACACAGCGGGATCAGGCAGAACAAGGCGGGAACACATGGGGAGCACAGAGCAAGGACTCCTTCTGAAAGCGCTGACAATCAAGACGGAACAGTGAGAGGGATTTTAGTGCAAGGCTTCATGATTCACTGCTGGGAAATTCTGGTTTCTCGTTTTGAGACCTTTATGTGGCTTAGCCTGGAAAGATTAGTTAGTGTGTAAGAGCCCGTTGCTGCCTTAAGTTCTGGATAGCAAATAACGGCTCTTACAAGGATGAGGAAGGTGGGTGACATGACCCCAGCACACAACAGCCCTGTTGGGAAGGGCCAGGGGATGGGCCCCCCTGGATTAGGAGAGAAAAGTGGCACCTAACCCGTGGACACATTCAGACATGGCCGACACGGAGCTCCGCTGGTGTGAACACACTTCCTCCTCGCAGAGGTCCTGTGAGGCAGCCTCTCAGCTCCTCCATGCCACGTGGTCCACTCGTCCGAGAGCCACATCCTCTGGAGTGCAGGCCGAGGCTGGCCACCCGAGCGCCTGGGTCCCCAGTCCTCCCGCAGGTCTCCCAAGCTCGGGACGCCAGCCCTTCCCGCGAGTGGCCCCCGCGCACAGTCTCCTTGGGCAGAGACTCGCCTGCTGCAGTGCTGAGCCCGAACCCCACGTTCTCGGTAAGTGTTTTCCTACGAAAGCATCCAGGGTGGCAGCCCCCTCGGGTGCCCTCCCCCGGGGTGAGCTTTTCTGTCCTCTCAGTAAAGCCTGCTTTCGAAAAAATGTCCTTTCATTGCCTGCTGAATGACGTCTACTTGGCCTGCATAATCTCAGGAAGGGTTTTGGGTTTGGTCTTTAGAAAGTGGTGCTTCCGGCACCAGCCCCCAACAGCCACTGCAGCATTCGGCCTCTGTTCACACGTTGACATCTCAGGTGTTTTAAGTTAGAATGCACGGATTTTACAGACCAGTTGTATCAAAGGACTCCGTGTCTTTCTGCTGTGTCTTGGCTAGAAACAGGACACTCTTTTGTCATTATTACTTATTTCTGCACTCATTTATTGAACAAATGTGCTCATGTGCATGCGGGAGGCCTTGTGAGAAACACAGCGATGAGTGAGCACGGACTCTGACTTCTGAATGCGTAGAGGGGCCAAGAAGGGGGTCAGGCGGTTTCTGCAGAAGTGACGAGAGGGGACCCCACAGTCCAGGGAAGGGAGGACATCTGACGTGTGTATGAGGACATGACAGCAGGTTTTCTGGAAGAGGAGGCCTTTTGGAAGGTTCTTGAAGGGGGGTCTTGGCGAGGGAGAAAAGTGAAGAGGCGGGCCCGGCCTACCTGGGCCAAGAGCCCGGCAGTGAGCTGAGTGGAACCGGGGAGTAGCTGGGACTGGATCAGCAGAAAGGCTGCCCCACCCGCCGCTCATCCGAAGACGCTGACTTCAGACTGTTACACTTGGGGCTCAGGGTTGACACAGGCTGCTGTGGCCCCTGCCCCTCGCACACTATGCTCCCATGGCTAGACATGCTGCAGTGTGTCTGCCCACAGACAAACTCGAGCCCCAGGGAACCGAGGGCAGGGCAGGCACCGAGGGGGACCCCTGCTGAGCTTTGCAGTGGGTGTCCTCTGATCACAAGAGGCAGACATGGAACCAGCCTGGAGGCAGCAGGCACAGGCCCAATATAGACCCAGCAGACAGGAAAGGCGCGCAGTATGTCTGGAGCAGATGGGTGAGCAGAAGTGGGAAGCGGAGGAAGCGGAAGCCTGGAGGGAGAAGTGGACAGGCCGCGGGTGTCCCGGGGAAGCTGCGGCCTGCACAAGGGTACGGCGC